AGATCCAGTTTCTTGATTTTCTTCAGCGGACCGAATATTCTCGAAGGAAGAGTCTTCAGGTTGTTTTGCTGGAGGCTCAATTCAGTCAGTTTAGGCATTTCTCCAAAAAGCGCTGGTGGCAGGTTTAGTAGTTTGTTCTTCTGCAGGGTCAGTGCTTTAAGCTTGGGAAATCCAACAAAGTATCCCTCTGGTAAACTTGTCAGAAGATTATTATCCAAAAATAGTTTCATTAGTTTCTCTTTATGCGGAAACTGTTCAGGTGACAAGCTGGTTATTAGATTGCCTTGCAAACCGATTTCCTCTATGTTTGGTAAGTTCGTGAATAGATCCTCAGGAAGGACTGTCAACTGATTTTCATAAAGCCTCAAAACTTTCAGCCGATTTAGTTTTGAGAACCACTCAGTTAACACTGAAGTTAGATTGTTTTTGCCTAAATTGAGCACTTCAAGGTTGCTAGGACCATCAAACGTCTGGTCTTCGATTAATTCAATTTCATTTCCGTGGATCTGGATTGTTTTTAATTTTTTAAGGTTTTCAAACAAATTGTTTTCAAGTTTATTGATCTTGTTAAACTTCAGAACAATTGTCTCCAGATTGATGGTGTCCTTAAAAAGTCCCACTGGCAGAGACGTCAATGGATTGTTGGAGATCTCAATGCCAATGAGATTCGTCAAACCATCAAAAGCGCCGGGTTGAATAGACAAAGTCTTAGTGTTCATGAACTCCACCTTCTCTAGTTGTGGGTTTTTCAAAAAGGCCCCTTCAGGGATATTTTCAATCTTACTGTCCACAAAGAAAAACTCTGTCATACCAGGCCTGAGTTGGTCTGGGATTTCTGTTATGTCTTCACCAAAAACATCCTGGTTGTCTTTTCTTTCTTCTCCACGTTGAGTTGATGAAAAGTCAAGCAGTAAGACCAGGAAAATGACAATGAGCTCCCCTCTTGACATTTTGTTCACTACAAGGAAAACATTTTTCTGTTTACTGAATAAACTCATTTCAGGTCTTGCCAATTCAAGCCATTAACTCCTTTTACCAACAAAAAAAAAATAGAATTAAATTAAAGCTCAGTTTCCTTACCCGATCATTTCTTCTCCCAGGATGAAACCGTGGAGAACACGCACATGCAACGTCTAATTTGTTATCTGGTCAATCCAGCTGGTTGACTTCAGTTGTGTTGCAGGACACAAGAGGCGTGGTCTGACACACCTCTGCAGTTCAAGATAAGAGCAGTACCTCACATTTCTATAGCATAAAAAATCTCTTTTTCTGGAATAAAACCTATTTCCAGGCATCCCCACATATTTTCAAAGCACATGCACTAAAATGGTCAGATCTGTGGCCGATCAATGGAAGCTCAGCCACTCTTTATGTTGAATAATGCATAGCATTAGGTTTTTAACATTATTTTGATACATGTTATCATCAGGACATGTGAAATGGCACCAAATAATGGAAAACTTTTATTTCTAATATTTTTCACAACATTTATACATGTTAAAAGGTAGATTTATGGAAAAATACATATTAATGCTGTCTTATGTTGTGTGATAGAATAAGAGGTATGAGATTTCTCTTATCATAGAACATTCCCTACTTACTCTTTAAGAAACAAGACTGTTACTCACTATGCCAAAATCTGTTATGCTTAATGTTTTTGAAGATTTGGAATAACATGCATGCTGCATCATAGCAAAGGAACGCAACTTTTATGCCTCTGCACCAATTAGTCATTACAAAACAACATTTACGACTAATTTGTTATGCCAAGTGTCTGCAGCCCTTTCTGAGAACTAAACGAAATGCTTTCTAATGTCGTTCTATTTTCTTTCAGCTAGATGGCAATAGAACGCAACCGACAAAGCAGCAATCCAACAGAGAGGAATATAAGTACCTGTCCTCAGAATCAGTGTCAATTTGGTAATTTAGTTTAAAATGAGAGCAGGCATGAGCAGGCCATTTGAAAAAGAATATCTCATATGTGCAGATTTTCTACCTGAGAATTTAGCTAAGTCTTAGTGGCGTTAAGCTGCACTGATGTCCAAAATGTTTGCACAAAATTGGTCTACACTGGGAAAAGCCATTGCTGCTCTTAAGAACTGTTACACCCAAACTGTTGTTTTTGTCAATCCTGGATTGTTGTTTTATATATAAATATAAGAGTTTTTTAGCGTTTTTGCAATTTAATAATCAAAGTTGTTAATGTAGCAAAACTGATTTCCTCATTACATTTTTTATTTGATAATTAACTCATATTTACAAAACTTTAATCAATGAATTCTATACAAAATCTGTTAATTGGCAAATATGAGTATTTCCATTTTCAGAGATGTAAAGTTCCGATACTACACTTAAAGCTTGAATAAAGATACTCATAATAAAAACACAATATAGGATTGTAGAGTAGCGCTGTGAATTTATTTAGTGTATAGAGTCATTTTGCATAGCACTGTGTTCAAATGGAAAGTACAGTATTTGTACTATCAAAACCTTTCATTAAACAGTTCACTGTTGTTAGCATAAAAGTCAATATCAGCCTAAATCAGGAAAAAAAAGGCTTACAATCAATATCATAGACTCAATGTTTTGTTTAATTTTACATTCACAATAAAGTCCAGCTTGGCTGTGAGATGAAAAGTCATTTAAACCTACCGAGTGAATTGTGAGTTGTTGTCTTTTTATGTAAATATTGACTAGAAACACCTTCTGGGACTGCAAACCTCTTTGAAACTGAAAACTAGTTCATTCAAAAGCAAAACTGTGTCCTTTGTAAAGGAGCTTAAGTGTTTTTTTTCCCATTGTCTTTAAGGCTTTGTCATCTTCAAAGTAAATCACCGAGCCACTTCGCTTGGCCTGAAAAGTTCCTGGCTTCTTTGTACAGTTTGGGCTCTCGTCTACAGCACAGAGTTCTTATTCCCGCGGCCTATGTTCCCTTTGCCTCTCTTGTTCTTTTTCCAGCACACACAGCAGGTGATGACAGTGGCGATGATGACAGTGCATACTACAGCAATGGCGATTAAAATTATATTAGTGTCGTGAGAAACCGGCCCACCATTCTCTTGTCCACTGCTGGTCACCTCTTCGTTCTTTGAGGGGGTTGTCGTCTTGATAGCAGGTGCGGGGGTGCTCCGTTTGGGTGGAGATGTATGGGGCCTCCTTCTCTTCTCCGTTGAGGTGAACACAGGCTCTTCAGTAGAGCTGCGAGGAACCAGGGTTTCATCCGCCAGCAATGCAATCACCTCACCCGAGAGACTGACAGGAGTATCGCACACCACGAGGGTCTGGTTGACCTTGGTGGGGTGCTGTCTCAGCCAATCCCTAAGGGGCAGAATATCCTTGTCACACCTCCAAGGGTTCTTGCGCAAAAGGACAACCTTTGCAGCAGTGAGGGAGTCTAGACTCTGCTTTTGCAGGTTAGGCAAGGAATTGTTATGCAGATCAATCTCCCCCAAGTGGCTCAGACCCTGGAGGAAACCCAGAGGCAGGGACTTGATAAAGTTGTTCTCTAAAGAGATGTTGACCACATTGGGAAGCTCTTGGAAAGTACCCGTCTGCAGAGATGTGAGTTGATTGGTGTGCAGCGATACTTCTCCCAGCTTCTCCAAGCCTCTGAACGCACCAGCGGATACATAGTTGATCTGGTTGCGGCTGAGTACTAGGAGCCGTAACTCCGTCAGGTTCCTGAATGTGTCGTCATCCACACGGCTCAGCTTGTTGTCATACAACCACAAATCCTCAAGGGGCATAGGTCCAAACACCCCCGGACTCAGACTTGCCAACTGGTTTTCATACAGGGACATAAGTGAAAGTCGGGGTAGGTTTAAAAAAATCCCTTGTGGAAGAGAGGTCAACCTGTTGTTGGACAGAAACAACTTCTGGAGTTTCAAGTTGTTGGAGAACATGTCCTGGTTGAGGTGTGTGATTTGATTATCTTGTAGAGACAGTTCTTCCAGGTTCAAAAGATCATTCAAGGTACCATCAGGGAGTTCCTGTAGCATGTTTTTGTTGAGGCGTAAGACTTGCAACTGAGAAAGATCCTTGAATGTCTCTCTATTTATGTGACTGAGGTTGTTTCCAGAAATTGAGAGGGACTGCAGCTTTGTTAGAGGGCGAAAGGTTTCCACTGGTAAAGACGTGAAACGGTTCCTGCTGAGATCCAGCTTAATCAGGTCTGTCAACGTGGAGAACCATTCAGGTCGCACTACTGAGAGCTTGTTTGAATTCAGAATAAGAGATTGAAGTTTCCCAAGATTTTGGAACAAGGCCGCGGGAAGATCTTGTAATTCATTGTGAGCAATCATTAAGGCAGTCATGTTTATCGAGGAATCAAATGAGCCAGGGTGCACTTCCCCCATAGCAGCATTTCTGATAGCGAATGTGGTTAGAGATCCCGAGAATTGAGTAAGGTCCTCTGGTTTAAGAGAGAATAAACTGCAATCTGACAACCAGAGATCAGTGGTCAAAGAGGGCAGACCTGTGGGGAACTCAGTGAGGCCTTTGCAGGCAATTTTGTTTTGAACACATTGGCATCCTTGTGGACACGCCCACACAGCATCGTGTAAGGAGCAGAGTAGTAGGAGCAGATGGAAAGTCAGCAGGTCCATTATCGTCCTACAACAAAAGAAAGAGAAGGGTGGGTCAGATCAGACATATAGAAAATGAATTTGTCATGTTACTATCAGATAGTTGATACTGATTTTACTATGTGCCATTAATACTTCATCATGACTGAATTTCACAAGACAGTTTCACTCTTTGCAATTATTTGAATGAGACGTGCATTTGTGTAAAAAACATAATTTAACTCAATTTTACTCTTGCATAAGAACTTTTATAGAAAACCTTTGGTTCATGGATTTCAAAACTATTAAATTGAACACACTGGCCTTGTTATTTTCCATCACATGATGCTACAACAAATTATGACAAAACTGGACAAATGCCCGAATGAATGTTAAGATCAGGACACTGGATTCCTATTCATATCTGAAAAGGATGTTTCAAATGTCCTGAAGTCCTTCTGAATCAAGTTAATCATGGTGTAGTTATATAAGAATATGTCCGTACTATCAGGGAAGATCTGTAGCTTTTAGGCATATTGATATAAATCAATTGTTTGTATAACAACACTAAATCTAGCCCTGACCGACTGAAGCAACTTTTTTTCTTAGTTAAAGAAAGTTAGTGTAGCTAAAAATTCTATTTTTCACTCATTGGATGGGCAGTCCAGGGTGTACCCCCTGTGGTGTACTAGATCTGGGGTACACACCTGTGGGGCCAGCCCTGCACAGCGCTAAGAATAATCGGCATGGACAATGAATTTTAATCTTTAAACTTTTGGAATGCTGAGAAAGCAAACTGAACATAGGTTAAAATAATCTTGTTGTCATGGCAGGAATTTAAAAGGCAGACTGTCTTCTTCTTGGCAATGAGAAAACATACACTATGCACAGTAGTCCACAGGAAACTCACTATCATTGTTTCCATGAAGGATATCAGTTCTTTCCGTTTTCCAGATGAATTTTCACTCAGCAGTTCATTTCACCACTTAAAACTTCAGATGAGGAAGTGCCTTTATGCCTATTTTGAAAAGTTCTGTCACCAGAAAGCTGAGACTTTCCCCATAAAATGAACTTTTTGGGACACTTTCTGGTAATTCCCATGTCCTCTTGGGTCTAAATGATACGTAAAACAAACATGACTAATACTGTGTGAGAAAGCAATGAAATTAAATCCACGAGTTCCCGTCATGATCTAGAAAAAAAGGGTTGCTCCTGCACTCATGACAATTAACTCCACATAAAATGCTCCATATGTCTTATATTCATTCTTGACTAAGCTTTGAAAAGGTGCTTTTTCATATTAGACTGACAATGTTTATCCAGTTTAAAAAATTTGCCGTATTTGAAACAGAAAACTACTTCATAATGTGAATTTCTACAAAACAATTAGCTGAAGAAAATGTGAGAAAGCAAAGTTTTTAAGAAGTTTGTTTCTGCATGAAATGCTTCGGTTTTTGTCTGTATGTGACCAGTACAGACGGCCTGTATGCTCGAGGCCAGACCTGTTTTCTATTTTGTAATGGAGCTGGAGTCCAAGCGGATGAAGCTGGGCCAACAGCTTCTCCATGCAAATCCACTTTGGAACTTAAGGCTGGCATACGTGAGCTGTTTCTCAGAGGCTGAGACGTATTAGCGTGCAGAAAGAGTCTGTAGAAGGAAGTAACTTTTCTAAAGAGAATCCTCAGAGTTCAGCCGCAGAGGTACCACATTTCTTATTCCTTCTTTATTTCTTTTGTTTGTTTGCTTCTTTCTTTCTTGCCTCACATAAAAGATGGGTCGTAAAATACATCCTGGTACCTCACAGCTGTTCACATTTGCAGGACATTTCAATCCTTCTGTTTCCACTTAAAGGGGTGTTGTACTGGGTGCTTGTTTTTTGTGTAGTTCCAAAAAACATTATTATTCTAATGTTTTACTTTCCTCATAAGAGACGGTCAAGGTCAGATCTAAGTCAAGGCTGTGTTCTTATTACACAAAAGCCTGAAATATAAGGGAAAAATAAGGGAACATGTGCCCATGTGAGTAATGTACTATCTGTATATACTTCCTTTTTTGTATGTGGCAAAGGGAAAGGTATTACAACACGGAATAAAACACGGATATGAGCAACTACAGTTGGTTTGAGACATAGGACTGACCGTTATGTTACATAACTCCCACACACAGCACATGACCTAAGCTAAAGCATGTGTCCCTTTTTCTATGTAGGGACGCACACGTCCAGAGATACACACCTGTATCGATCTACATTGTAATTGGAGCCAAAACAGCATTGTCTGCTCTGAACTGGAGCAAACTGGAATTATGTGCATCAATGTGTGCTGAACAAAACATTTCCAGTTCACTATTGAGCACTCCGACTTTTCTCTTTCATAATGGCAAACAATCTGAACTATGAATTGAAAAAAAAAAACATTCAGAGAATCAATTGATTTTATCCTAAATGTAATTCTTCCATTAAAAAAATGCTAAGCCATTGCTGAAAATGCATTTAAGAATTCGGGTAAATGAGATTTTAAACAAATTTAGCTACAAACTACCATGACATTAAAACACAAAATGAATATTCAGTAATTATCTACAATGAATTAATCAGATTTAATCTATTTTTAAACTACTCTCATCCATTTCTGGTTAATTTGTAATAGCCTATCCATCCACAAAGCACCTTTTTCCTTAAATATGTTTACATCAAATCAAATAGCCCTGTGCTGCATAGGGCAGCATGCCGTTTTGGGGGAACTTACCTTCAGTGGTGGCTGACAAACAGTGAGCTGACACAGAGAGCTTGCGCTGGCGTTGCTTATGTGCAATGCGTCCACCCTTCCTTTTACAGCCTCACTAATCCTGGGAGAGTTTCCAGCTCCCTCTGAACTCTCACACGATCACATATTCCTGCTCTGAATCATCTCTCTCTCTTTTTTTTTCTTTTTTTTTTTTAGATAAATCAGCTATTTTCCCGATCCGAGCACGTGAAATTTGGAGGTTCTTTCTCTAGAGTTCCAGTGGAACTGTTCAGCTGGCCCCCTGCCCCCTCTGCGCCTCCCACCCTTTCACATTTTTGTCAAATGTGGTGGAGGGGGGATTGAGCCCCACCCTGCTGTGTTACTGTGCCTGAACTGATTTTGTTGTTGGGAACCGAGTAAATGTTTGAGGGTGACCAGTTTTCTTTTCTTTCTTTTTTTCTTCTTTTTTTTAGGTGGGAGGGTATAGTTTTTACTTCACTGGAGGGAGATTAGGATTACAGGGAAGATGAAAGCTTGGCTTTGTTGGAACAATAGAGATGGTTTTATGTTTTTGGCTTGTTTATTACATCTTATGTGTGCTATTTTTAGCTGCAGGCACAAATCTTCAGCTGCACATATCTTTGGTATGACTTGTATGCTTGTAATATGGCTCTTAATGCCTTTCATAGGCCAAAAATTCAATTTCACCCACTCCCACAAGTCCTGAAAAAAAGATGTGTTCCTCAAAATCTTTCCTGAAACACCTGTTGTTATTGTATGATTTTGAGGAGAAAAAAAATCCAAATGTCTTTTTCTTGTAGTTTTACAATGTAGTTATCCATTCTTTTCATCACACGTTAAAAGTAACTAAATAAGTACATGACAGTTTTTCTTTAGAAAATTTGCTACAAACGTAATTTCTATTGCTAATTAGTTTTGCATTAAACTGTGTTTTGCTTACTACAAACGATTTAAAACGAGGCCGGCCTCGTTTTAAATCGGTTTGTAGCAAGCGGGCGTTGGGCTGCTGTAGGCGTTGAAACCTTTTTCATGGTATAGCACAGGAAACCAGATAACAAGGGTGGAGTTAACGTACAGTTATGAGACGTTGTGTGATTTACTGTATGGTGAATCCAACACAAAAAACACAACAACTTAACAAATTAGCTGTTATACACATGCAGAAAGTTATTTATGGGGCATTATGATAGTTGTCAGGGATGAACTCATGTTCTCAAAAGAATCTTCAGGTACAGCTTTAACAGTTTTTGTCATACTCAAAATTTAAGCCGAGGCCATGAGAAAAATACCTGAACTTATTTTAAGATATATGTAGATGGTGCTGACCAATAAGGACTAATATGCATATTTACTGCTGGTTCACAAAAGAAATGTGTACACCCAGATTCTTTAGGTCATGAATCTTTCAAAGCTGCATTACTTTACGACAGCTTTATTAATCCTTTAAGATTGCCGAAAAACCTAAATCAACCATCCCTTTAAGGGGACTGCTGAGCCCTGCAGAAATAAAAAAAAAAACTTTTCATTAAATTCCTTTATGGTTTTCCATACAGGAACCTTTTTAAGAGAAAGTGATCTATTGTGGTTTGAGACTAATATTGTTCTCCCAAAATAAATTGTTTTTCTTTTTGTGTTCAGTTATTTCATTTAGTCATTCTTACAGTATGAAGAAAAAGAACAATGCCCTATGTTATCTGGCAGTATCTTTTTGTACGATCTGAGTTGTTTCTGAAGCTGAAATTAAAGCATGTTCCTTGTTGTCTTTCAAACCGGAGGCAGCTAAGAATGAGCGCAGATCCTCTTGAAACCTCCTCCATTTGGTGAAACTCTCACTATCATATTATCTTCTTCCTCTGGTGATTATTTATGTGGAGCCAGGATGCAGAGCTAAATGCTCACGCAGATGGTTTGGTCAAAACAGAAACTGGCGTTCAAGGGGTTGTTTTGTAAGTGTGCCCTTGTGAAAGTGCAAACACATTTATGCCCGGGGCTGCGAGGCGGAGTTGGTTAGCACCGTTGCCTCTCAGAGAGAGGGTTTGAATCTCGGTCGGGAATCTTCCTGTGTGGAGTTTGCATGTTCTTTCCCTTTAAAAATGGGGAGTCTCTGAGTACTCTGACCTTTCCCGAACATGCTTTTTAAATAAATTGGAGATTCCTACTGGTCTGTAGGAGTGTGTGTGCATGTTTTTTTTGTCTGGCCTATCTCAGTAAGGCCCTGTGATGAATTGGCAAACTTGGCCAGATTTAACATTGTGCTTTGGAAGATTTTCCTCCGAACAAGTTGCGAAACAAGCTCTTATCTGCAGCGTATGAAACGTCAGCGTTACTTAGAGTTTTTCAAATGTTTCCACTGCTGTCAGATACATGCGGTGCAGTTTCCTCTTGCCCTGCTCACCCACTCCAGTGTGTGTTGGCGTGTGTGTCCACTGTTGTGCGAGCTCAGTGTACTGGAAAGGCCTAATAGCCCGTTGTCATAGCAATGAACTTGGATGCTGTTCTTTTGTTTGCTTTGTGCTTGAAACTTGATTGATTCTCATGGAATTTGTGGCATCTTTTGTCACTGCATGAATATTCAAAAGGGCTGAAAGATTGTTTTGGCCAGCTGATTAACTTCCTTTTTTTGTTTGTTATTTATCATTTTGCCATCAAATAATAAGTTTATCTTTAATTAGAAAAACAGCCATAATTGCCAATGCAAATGTATTTAACTCTATACAACATCATTCAAATATTTGAGAAAATACCTACCTTCCCTTAACACACCATTCCAAAGTCTAAATAAGCACAGAGACTGTCACACATTATTTCGAGGCGCACCCAAAAAAAGGCAGTCACTGTGCTGGATGCGCTTCTGTACACATTGTTGTGGTATTGTCTTGATGACTGCCTGCAAAATTACAGGGATGCTGCCTTGCAAAAGAATGTGCCATCTAAAAAGTTTATCTCCTAACTGACGTTGTGTAATCTGAATCATGGTTAAATGTGTTTCCTGTTATGAAAGCTTTTCCAAAGTTGATGAATTGAACTTCACACCCACCTAAAATGTGATTCACTTCTGGAAAGTACTCTTCTTACTCAACCCTATTTGGGCAATGAGTAAAACTCATTAGTTCTGAATTTGAAAAAAGTTCTGGAGCTAGGGAAAGTTTTCACATTTAAAAATGTCCCCAGCATCTGTTTATTGGTAGATGGTGTGTGATTCTGGATGCTGGGGGAACACGTGATGAACTCTATTTTTGTATGGTTCAAACAGTTAAAAAGTTGAAAAAATGGATATAGTCAGAAAACAGGTATAGAACACACCCAATTTGTTATGTGAGAGGCAGGATAACATCATGGTTACATCAGCAGGATTAGTGGTATTTATCTGCTTTTTCGAAAATATATGAGATATTTCTTCTATGATATAAAGTATGCAATAACTCCAATCAAATGTGTATTCTGTGTTTTTTTTTATTTCTAAGACTCAGTGATTTGATGTGGTATTCAGTGGTATCCAGACGCTATCTTTACTGTTATATGTCTAACAAATACATGTAGGCAAAGACTCTCTGAAGCCTTGAGGTTTCTTCGTGTGTTCTCATCACAAATGGACGCAAACTCCAAATCCAGCGTTTTTGTTTTATATTGTCACTTTATGAAGCCCTCTAGAAGTTAAGTAAAGTCATAATGCATAAAAACATGACAAATACTGTATGTAATGTATACATGTCAATAGGAAATGACAGTATTTTAATTCTACTAAGCTTTAAAAAAAGGGAAAGCAAATGAGAAAATGTTTTAAAATGTGAAGACATGCAGTTATGAACCTCATCATTCATCAGATGTTTTCGGCCTAATCAATTTGTTCTTTCATTACAAGAAACATAAAAAGAAGTAAAAAATACGGGCTAAGCTGACCAGATACCAAGGTGTACAAAAACCTTTGACCAACCAAAGCCAAAGAAGAAAATGGATTTTCCTTGAAATTCATTTGTTATTAATCTGTTGAATTAATTTATATGTACATATGAACAAAAAATTTGGTGAAAAATTATCTATTAAACCACCAAATAATTTGTATGCATATGCACCTCTGCACTGTCATTCAAAGCAATTCGTCACACTGTTTTAAAGATTCTGGTGTTTCAAAAATTCCAAATCCAAAACGGCAGGTTTCTCCATCCCCAAAACATTTTCTCGAAAGAACTGGACACAACATCTCAAAAAACAATAAATACAATACAATACAGAAAAAGTGGAGCCTTTCCAGTTTGTCTTCCTGTGTGCACCAGGCCTGATAAGACATTGTGTTATTTCTTACGAACGCCCGCCCGTCCCGTCAGCTGCCCTATGCTGTCGCTGAGACGATGCATGCCATATATGGCTGCAAGAATAAGCGAGAGGCCCATCGCCAAGAGAAGGATGTAACAAAACATGAGGAACCCCAACAACTTTGTGTCGGAGGGCAGAAACCAGACGTACACCCAGCCTTTGTGGTGGTTGTGGTGAACGTACTCGGGGCCATGTTCGACCACCAGTATATCGTGAGAAAGAGGCACAGGCTGAGATGGGTCAGGGGGGGCAGTGGCCTCAGTCTGGAGAGACGTTGACAGGGTCTGGGGAGCTGAAGTGGTGGATTCTGCTGGTAGAATAGTTGATTTTGCTGGTTGAGTGGTTGCTTTTGCTGGTGGAGTGGTTGCTTTTGCTGGTTGAGTGGTTGATTCTGTTGGTGGAGTGCTTGCTTTTGCTGGTGGAGTGGTTGCTTTTGCTGGTGGAGTGGCTGAGACGGTGTGCGCTGGCTCTGTCGGCTTGTACGTGGAGAGCTCAGTTGGAGAATAACTTTTCGAGGTTGTCAAGTCGCAGTATTCGAACTGCTCGGGGCTCAGAGATCCAACGGTGCGGAGCATCTGGTAGACCGGTGTGTGGCATATCACGTCATCTCTGTCAACAACAACATGCTCATTATGTGTTATCCAATTTGCAAGGTCTCTGATAGCACAGGTACAATCCCAGGGGTTCCCGTTAAGAGTAAGAGCCTTCAAATTTGAATTTGAGAGGAAGATGTTTCCCGAAAGAGTACTGAGGAGGTTTCCCTCCAAAGCAATGGTTTCCAGCCTTGTGAGGTTGTGAAAGATGTTTGCAGGAAGGCTCCTCACTTTATTGTGATTGAGAAGAAGGATTCCCAGGCTGGTTAGGGTGGAGAACAGCTGAGGATGGAGATGACTGAGATGGTTGTATCGTAGCGAGAGCTTCTTGAGGTTTGTGAGATTGTGGAAAAGGTCAAACGGCAGCTCCGTCAGGTCGTCGTTTAAGTGAAAGTTCAGCTGTAGCAGCCCTGACATGTTTGCAAACAAATTTCCAGGAACAGTGACGAGGTTAGTGCTAAACAGATAGAACTCTGTCATGTCGGGCATGTGACCCATCAGCTCATCTGGGAGAGATAATAAAGGATTTTTGTAAATGGTTAGTTTTCTCAGCTTTGGCATGTTGTAGAAGCTCCTTTGTGGAACAGCCTGCAGTTGGTTTGAGGACAGGGTCAGGGTTTTCAGGTTCCCCAGAGACCAAAAAACTTCAGGAGGAATGCTCTTTATCTGGTTTTGATGGAGATTTAGCTCTTCAAGGCTTACGAGGTTATCAAAGATTCCAGCTTCCAGGGCCTCTAACTCATTGTTAAAGATCCTGAGAAAGCGAAGTTTCTTCAGGGAATGAAAGATCGTGGGTGGAAGCCTCTTAATGGAGTTCCTGCCGAGGTTCAGGAAGGTGAGGTTGGTCAGTCCATCAAAAATGTCCGAGGCAGGGTAAGAGAGCTTGTTGTCGGTCAGGTCCAGAACCAGCAACCCAACAAGCCCCTCAAACATGTCGGGGGAAAGTCTCTCCAGCTGGTTCCCGTCTAAATAAATCTCCTCGAGGTGGCTCAGTGGGCTGAACACCTGAGCAGGAAGGGTGGAAAGATCGTTCGCTGAGAGCTTGACCGACTTGAGCTGGGGGGCTGCGTGGAAGGCCCGAGGATGGATGGTGCGTAGATGGCTGTGGGTCAGGCTGAAGCGCAGCAGCAGCTGCTGGTCGGCCAGACTCCGCTCATTTATGACGGTCATATTCGTGTCATTCAGGAGCAAGGTGTAGGTGTGCAGCGGCAGATGGCGTGGAATGTCTGAGAAGGCTTGCCCGACGCATTTGGTGACTCCTTGTGGACTGCACAGGCAGCTGCTTGGACAGGAAGCTTCACAGCCAAGCAAAGGTAGAGCGGCAAGGACGAGAAGAATCCAACAGGTGCCTGTGAAGGTAAAATAAAGGGTATTCTAAGCAGGATACTATCTTTTTTCTATTGAAAAAAGTACAAAAATGTAAGACTCATTAGATGTTATAATCAAACAGTCTTAATTTAGATTAAAGTATTTTTAAAGGCATTCCGCTAACCTCTGCAGCAGGCATCCATCTCTGTGGGTTTCCTGATGTGCTCTGAGCCGCTTGTCTGTCTTCTGCCATCGTAAATAGATGTACAGCCTTTTTCTGTCAAGTTATCCTGCCTCTGTTCCACCAACAAGTGGCCTTTACTGACAAGCACAACCAATGGGAGGAGGGTTTAACAAACACAAAATATGCTCTTACTTATCTAAATGCAAACACATTTAGGGTTTCGTCATGATTTACACTGCAAAGGAGTCAACACGTTTGCCATTTTTATGCTGTTTTTATTATTTTTAAAAACTGTAAATTGTGTCCTCTTTTATACCTCTCAAAAAGATGCTCTTTTGAGTGGCATAAATGGTGCTGGCTTACTTCCTGCTGTGGTCATATCTTGACAGGAGGTTCTCAGTCTGCTCTGCTTATCTTTCAGGAGCTGAACTGAAACATTTAAGTGCATTTTCTGAGTCAGGGTGATATGTCTTTATTATTATTGCACCATAGCAGAGTTAAATGAATGAGTCCATCTGGTGCTGATGTCATATTTTTAACTTAACTAATCCATTAATTCAGTTTTTGTTGGGATTTGACATAAAGCCAATTCAGCGTGAAGGTTGCTGTATATTTAAATAATTTAAATATAAAGCAGGAATATTGTACAAAAAGACAGCATATATGTATCTTAAAGCTTAGCATTATCAGGAGTATTATGAGAAGCCTTTCTGTAATAGTTGCTCATACATTTCTGGAAAAAATTAATTACATTTTTGAGGGATGAACTTGCTCGATGACTAATTATTCCACATGTGTCAGGTGTAATGAGATTTTTCACATATTGGTGGTTTATTTTTCAATTTGAGCCCGACATGCCTTGATCTATTGCAAAATATTCTATAAAATGCGTCACACACACGCACAATGAGCTCAACTCTATTCACCAGTTAGTGATGCTTGTAATTGGTGTGGACAGTCTGCAGCTAATCATACCCACATGTTTTGGGCTTGCCCTAAGTTCTGTGGGTTTTGGGGTAAGAGCTTCAAAACGTTCAGTCAAGCTTGTAATCAGACGATCCTCTCAAGTCAAGTGTCAGCTATATTTTTTATCCCGCCAGCAAATTCATGGAGACCGAGGAACAGGCCAGAACGTTTCAGTGAAGTATCAAAACCTCTTCAATTCAGACTTGCTACATCCAGGCTCCATTCACTTTGCAGTATTAGTAGGTTTTGCAAACTCTTTCAAGAAATTTAATAATTAGTTTTGGTGGCGAAATCTTTGTCAGTGTATCTTTGCCTTTACATTTAACAATTCAGCAGCACCAGGATCTCGTAAAGATTAGTTAAGAATTTATAGTTATAGTTCAGTTTTTGAAAATCTAAATATGCCATTTCTGATTGTCTTTATTAGGTCAGTTTTTTTTTCCATCCTGCAACACTTGGACGGAAAGACAGGTCCAGAGAATTGGTCCAAATGAGTGCCAGTAGCTCAGGAAGTGTGACTTGTTCACTTCCCAGCTTCCCAGTCTACTTCTTAAAAACAGAACTGATTATTGTTCCACCCGAGAGTTTCTCTTATCTTTTCCAGTAAATGAAAAAAACTAAAGGAAAATGTCAGTGCTCATTTTTTATCACTCTGTTTCCTGGATGCAGAGCACATAGGCGCGTGCTGACCCCGCAGCTCGGTCACAGCAAACTCATCACGTTGTTGAATGCTTTTGTTGGAGCCTGTCAGTGCATCTTCAGTCTGGTTTCCCAGAAACATCTTCTGTTCTGCAGGTTCTGTATTTACACAGCGGCGCTGACACTGTGGGGACTAAGCCGGTGACTCAGCTGTGTGATCGGACGCTGACGGACCCAGTCAGAGGAACATCATTACATAGTAAATCATCCGTCATAGCAGCTTTGCAAAGTGCCTGCACGTGTTCATTGGTACAGTTTGATATTTTTAGAATGTCTTCCCGGGTAGTGGAGAAATTTAATAAAGTTTCTCCTATGTAAAATGAATAAGAATTATGCAAGAATGTCGGTCTAAAAAGAAATGTATAGAATAACTGTCCTTTCCTTAAATGTTTGTAAAAATGAAGTAAAATCTAAAAGTACATATACAGATCATTTTATTTACACTGTAAAACTAACAGCATTTCTAAGAGCAGTGACAGGTGAGGCGATTGCTGGCGGTGGTGTACAAAATGTTCCACCCGGTCCCACAGGAGGGTGACAAACACACCAGATGCTGACAAACTAAAATCCAATGTGAAATACCATCACGTCCCTAGAGTTCTGTACATTTTGGCCATATTTGACTCTCAAGTATTTCCAGCTGATTATTTACACATTCAACATTCACATCTTTGATGAAAGGACTTTAGTGCACAAAAATGAAATTTTTTATTGATGAGACGGACTGTGGTGTAACTCCATATTGCTGGAATAAATATATTGGGATTAGATTTACTGGTGTTGCAGGTTTTAAGGCTATGTCGGGCTTTGCAGCAAGTATTCACCGGGAGTCCTCTTAAACCATCCGTCAGACACAGTACTTCCAGAAGCAAGCTGTAAAATTCAGAAGATATAGATTTGCAGAGTTAGACATCTGCAGAGACTAAATTTAATCAGTTTCCGTGATTGCGGGTGTTTGTTTAACTTACGTTCACCTCGCTTTCTGGAAGTGGATTTGCCTTCTGCCAAATTAGCCTTAATCTTGCTCTCCAGTTCCAGGTCCTCCCTCAGAGCCCGCAGCTGCAACCCAAGAACACAGAGACGCATTCATCCTTCTATCATCACAACTATTTAAGGTGATTTATAAAGTTGTGCAACAGGTTTTCATTTTGGGCTTCGTGTTTAATGTCCCTAGAATCAACTTAAAGCTTTGGAGACATTTCAATCAATTTCCAGCTAATAATTTAAAGCATTAAAGCATTTTACCTCCTCCAGCTCAGCTAATTTATTGCCCAGCTCTGCACCTGCCAACAGAAAGTCCAGTTAAACAGCTGGAAGATGCACAACAACATAGTTTGCAAATTTCCTTGTGCAGTTTCTCACCCAGCGAATCATCTTTTGGAACAGGAACTAAGCTTTTGCGTATTAATAGAGCTAGGATCTTGCTCTGAACGTCTTCACCCTCTTTGAGATCAAAAACATGGTTTCCTGCACATATAAAACACATAAAAATGTCACCTTAAACCTGCAAACTCTATTACTGAGACCATCCAATGTCTTATCACTTTTTTCACATGTTTTGCATGCAGCTTTTTCAAACTTCGGATGAAGAAGAAACGTTTTCATTTTGATTATACACTGAAAATAGCATAGTTCCACACTTACCAGAGTTAAACGTACTCCTCCCCTCCACAATGATCATTCCTTGCAGAAGTAGCAAACCCAGAAGTCCTAAACCATATGTCACAACTGTAACTCTGTCCATGGCAGTGTATGGACCTAAAGAAACCCTGTGTTATGATCCTTTTAAAACACCAGCAGCACACAGCCTTCAGTCCATACCATCAATATATTTATACTTTCATAGGAGGAGGAGGGGCATGTCAGCCCCTGGTCTTAAATCATCAGCTAGTCATCGTGGTCTTCGTCAGCAGCCTACCTTTTCACAAGGGCCGCGAAGGGTCTGAATGAAATACGGCGGGTGACGTAGCAGCGGAGGCCAGTAACCCTACATCACTTTGACACGAGCAAATCAAACAGAAAGGAAAGTATCAATCAACCGGCTGGTTATGAGAGACCACAATCAGATCCTCTTGGCACCTGTGAGTCTTTGTCTTTTACGTTAATTGTTTCTTTAGATAGACACATCTGAGTGTGTTGGTCTGGGACAGGAGAGGTAAGTAAATTGACTCGGTCTCTGTGGCAAGAGATGGGCTCCTCAATCTTGGCTTCAGGACTGATTTGGAGCCGAGGGGACATCCATCACTGAAACTGAGCCAATAACCCAACACCACCAAGGTCACCGTTGTCTGCCGTGAAGGAAATGACTGCTCACACCTCTCCCAGAGGAGCGCAGAAGAGAGCATGTGCCTCTGTAGTGTTAAAGAGGTGAGCTGGTAAGTTGGACTACTGAGGGCCACAAGAAACATGGGCCTCAAAGCTTGAAAAAAAATAGTAATACAGAACAACCTAATGATAGTGATGAAAATCTTTCATTTTTGGTCAAATATTGTAATGAATAATTTAGTTATGTGTAAAGAAAATCGTATTTTAGGACTTTGATGGCTGATTCCACCTTGGCTTTGTCCTTAAACAATGTACATCTGCTCAAATAATCTCACAAAATCCTGACTAATTAATTTAATTGAATGGGTGTATCAAAACCCCACAACCATAAATCCAGATTTTGTGCACAAAAAAGACCACAAGAAAGGTTTCAAAAGATTTGGAAAGATGTTCTCAAACAGATTTTTCTATTTTTAACTCGTCACAAATTATGTGAAAACCGGCCCTCTCCCCGTTTTGGGATTTGGCTGCAAATACAAGCGCTGCCCACTAGAGGGAGCAATATCATTAACATAAACCCGGTGCATAGGAGGCAGGAGGCGGTTTGTGCAACTGTCAGACAAAACAAGCACAAAAAATGGGGGCATAGTCACCGATACATGTATTATTAGTATCTGTCCAAGAAACAAAAACAAAAAAAGAAAACTGCTTATAATGTGCTGTTACTTCACTGACGAAAAACTTGTGAATGAAAATTGTGTTGTTTCTTCATAGTAAAGAACCACGAGCGTCGCAGCTCATCTGGATTGTTGGTTTTCCTCTGACGGACCCATGAAGACTTCCTGAAGCCGCTGCAGATGTCAATAGCGATTGCCTCGGCCGATCAAGTTGCGTACGTTTGACCGGAAGTAGAATATCAAACCTTTCAACTTAAGTGGGAAGTAGATCAAGTGGCAACGCGCCTGATTTTTAACACGTATGGGACAAATAAACAGCTAAACTCTGGGCCCCAAGTGTTTCTACTCACCATTAAAAGCAGCAGACCATAGTTCTTAAACACGTAATTTCTGATGATTTTGTAGGTACATGAGAAAATCCTTTGTACCACTTTGATTTTTCTTATATACCTTATATAATTTTGTAGAATATTTATCATAATTCACCATATATTTGGGGTGAATTTGCTGTCAGATTTGGGCTGTCTTTTCAACTTTTTTTTATTCACGAATCTTCTGAGGCTCTTTCTTATGAGAGGGCATTTTGTATCTCATTTAAATGGATCTTTATTGTTTTTTCTAGTTTTAGGTGTAATTGGATTTGTAGGTTATTGTAGATTCCCAGTCATCCTGGCCATGTTAATTCAATTCCAGTTGAATACACCTTTGTAATGACAGATGAAATGCCTAATCAAGTCTATTTAAGTTTAGCCGGTTATCAAACATTTAAATCAGGGTGGGGCAGCTCTGGGCCTCGAGGGTCACTTTCCTGCAGGTTTTAGAGCTTTCTTTGCGTCTACACACCTGATTCATATAAAATGGAGCTCGTCAAGATTGTTAAGCTCTGCACAGGACTGCTAATTAAGTGTTGATGTGAATCAGGTGTGTGGAAGCAGGGGAACCTCAAAGTCCTGCAGGACAGCGGTCCTATAGGGGTTGATTTTCCCCACCCCTGCTCTAAATCAAACTTCAGTCAACTATGTGACATTTCTAAATTCAAACAAACAAGGTTTAAAGTAAATCAAGCTCAAATTAAAATACTTTTCAAATCTCTAAAATGTTCCTTGTCTTTATCACAGTGCTTCACAAAGCATCGAGAAACATCGAAAAACTTGTGTTTTTGTTGTTTGCACGGAAGCCTGGCGCCTCTTACTTTGACATTTCCAAACAGGAAGTGCGCTGTTTATGAGCTGCGCGTGCCTGGGCGAACGAGCGTCCGTGGTCGGGGAGGAGGGACGATTGTAGAAAAATCTGACACGCCAGCTCCGCCAGCGACGTATCGGAGAGGGAGGCAACCGAAACTAATCAGAAGGGCCGTCCAGCACCTGAACCATCAATCGGGTTTACGAGTGAAAGAAATCAATCACGACGCAGCCGTTAACCTTCGGAAGACACGCGGAAGTGCACTCCACCGCCATCCTTTTTTTTATTTGTATATATTAATATCTTTTTTATTTTTGACTTATTAGCGGTGGCAACATGGCTGAATGTAACGTTAGCATCGACCAGAATAAACTACCTGGAGTGAAAGAGGGTAATGTCCACGTCTCCTAGCTAATTGTGAAGCTAGCCGGCTGTTCGGAGGGGTGGGGGGCACGTGCGGGGCACGAGCGGGCTAATGTTTTAAGGGGGGAACACAGGTGTTTATGTCTGGTCTCTGACACTGTGGTAGCTGGTAGCTCAGCCGGCTAGTAATGCTAGCAAACTAACTAGTCTTGCATACAAAAGGCGGATGACAGCTCTTATCACGCTCCTTGGGCTCGGTGCAGATGCCGAAAAATATGTTTCATGTCACGTCTGTTAGCATGTTGTTGCCCCTTTTCAGGTTATTCGCTGTTTTAGGTTGTGTTGTGATGGTTTGTTGGAATGTGAGAGGGAAATAGTGTGAAGAAGATGCAGGTTATTCAGCTTTTGTTCGCCTGTAAGTTCACCCAGAGCCCTGGAGATGTGACTTAATGTTGTGTTTTGCTTCTACCTGTCCTCACGTATCACACTAATATCCAAACTTTTACTGATGTCCAACTGATAGTAAGTGGATGGCTTTTTTGTTTTTGGTATGAAATGGATCATTGATGTGTCCTGTGAGGTGGAAGCAGCTGCTCGGCAGGATGCTTGTTATTCTGGTCAGAGACGGAAGAAAGCAGCGTTTTTGCTTTGCTTTTCGCCTCTGCAAAGGGGGAAAGCAAGGAGAAATGCTTAAAGTGTCAGCTCAAGACTTCATGTGTTGGGGAAAATAGTTTCTATTTGTCCACCTGACTGCTTTGTTGATAGAGATTAGCAGGAGGATTGTTTATTCTTTGTCAGGAAACACAAATACAAGTCTGACCTGGTCATCTGCACAATGCTGACAGAAATGGAAGATTTTTTAGGTTAAACTTCAATTGATCAAGGGAAGATGAATTTGTAATGAGCTACAATATTACTGATGACATTTTAAACATTTTAAAACGCGTTCAGCCACTTTTGGGTCTAGAAAAGATAAACCAGCCCCGGGATATCTTAGTTTCTTGGTTAAGAAGATTAAGCATATGGTGGGAAAATACTCTGAATCAAATTCCAAACTGTCTGGAGTCGTAGTCAGACTTTGAAGAGGTCGTGCCCTCCTCTTTAGTGTGTTTATCCCCATTCAGACAGGCTGCAAGTCTTCAGTTACCAGCAAATCTCAGCGTCCCAATGGCACTGTGCAGTAGCACTGCGTTTGAATGAAGTTCTCTGTGAGGCAAACTGATTGTGATCATTATTAGGTGGAGGAAATCTTTAAGTTTTAGGTAAATAAATTCATACTTGTTCCGAGGACATGTTTTAAAAAAAAAAAAGATGCAGACTTAAAAGAATGCAGTTGATGAACAGCTGATTGAGCTTAATCCACGTTCAGATGACGTTTAAGTCCATAAGTATGTGAGGAAGGTCCCTGAATATCCCCCCAGCTCTCCAACACAGGAAGTTGTCTGCCTTTTAAAAAAAACTGTCTAACAAATATTCCGATGGAGAATTTAAGCTGCTGTCAATATGACTTAACTCCGCATGTTCCCACAAGCTTTTTATCAGGATGTCTAATTAGTAGTTATTGATGATTAGAAGCAATGCTCTTTGGCTGTGTAATTTATGCTGGTTGCAAAAAAAAAGTTAAAGGTGTGAAATGGAAATTTTACTTCTATAAAATGAATATCTAAGACCCAAGCTTAATTCAGATGAACAGAAAGACAAATGGCATAAGTTAAGTATATGTCTCAGCTGCTTTTGGGGCGAAAAAATACATTTTGTTTTACCTGCCAAACATGAGAAAGACCATCTTTTAAAACAAATGTAATATCATTACCAGGCCCTAATTAAAACGACATGGTTTCTGCAACAACGAAAATAAGTGATATTAAAAAGGGTAAAGAAAGACAACTTCTTTTTCCCATGGGTTGTGAGAATAAAATATTTAAAACTATATCTAATCTAAAAATATGAAGTTGTCCAACAAAGATGCTGAAAAAATGTTTCTTTGTTTTTTGTTGGAATGGGAAATGGGCTTTTAGTTTAAATGACAATAATTAGGATATCTATAAAAACTCATTTTGTCGGGTGCCTTATAATGGACACGTATTTCTAAGTTGTTGTTTTTTTACTTCTCCAATATTTGAAAGAGGAGACCCATCACTTTCAGCTGTTAATAACTCCATCTCTCATCACTTCACACCTGTGTTGATGCTTTTTTTTCCTATGAACGCAAACATTGCTTCCCCTTCCAGTTTCACATCATTTGGTTTCTAACAGATTAGAACATCATACCAGATGGTCAACCTACCGCCCAAAGAAACAGTTTACTTTTTATTCCAACTCTGAATAAAATTGAGATTTAGACAACAGAATAGGTTTGTTTGTTAAGCAGATGCCACTCTGAAGGGCACAAGTCTCAGTTTTGAGTTGTTGGAGTTGCACTAAAAGTTTGTTTCAATTAATATAGATAATGTATTCAAAGTTCCTCTTTTTGTTTGTTTTTTTCACCCCCCAGTGTGCCGAGACTTCGCCGTGCTGGAAGACCACTCCCTGGCCTACAACCTCCAAGAACAAGAAAGTAAGACATTTCTGTTAAGACATGTTCAATTTCCCATATAGTCGTCATATTTCTTTAAACGGTTGCTCAGGTGAGTGGTTGTCTGTAATCAGATACGATAAATATTAAAATCTAGTATCCCACCACCCATCCATCCTCACATTGGATGGATGGCTAGTTTACTGATTCCAGCCAGACTCTCAGCATCATCTCAGTTTGTGTCTTTTCCTCCTCCACCGCTTAAAGTAAAAATACTTTTTTGTGCAGAGCTGTAACAGGGTGTCCTCACAGGTTCGTGGATGTGGCTTCTTAGGGCAGATCTAAACTCTGCTTCAGCTAAATCATTAACTTGGAGTTTTTGTCTGGATCATATTAAAGCGTTGTGCTGCAGATGCTCATCAGAGAAATCCTGGTCCAGATCTGAAGTTAGCCAGAGCAACACGCTCCAGTCTCTTTGATTTCATGTGTGTGAGCTGCACATCTATGTTTAGTCAGCATTGTTTGTCTCTGCCCCGTTGGATCATTATCCGGGGAGAACATGTGGAAGTAATTAGCTGCATATTTTATGTGATGATGTGATGTCAAAGAACACTTCTGACAAAGTGTTTTTCAAGTTTCAGGTTTACAAATTCCCAGGCAAGACAGGGATCCCTTTTTGTCCTTCACAAATACAGATAATGAGTCAGGCATCCTTCACCTGTACTTATTCATGAAAGAATCACAGGAACCGCCAGAGAAAAGCTGCAGCTCTGAGCTGTTCCAAGAATTCTTATGGTGGGCCAGTGTTAAGGTGGAAACGTCTGGTTTGGAGAAGCACTGAACACTCGTCGGTTTTTCTGTTTCCACAAATATACCTCTCTTAAAAAAAAATTGTAATTATGCAGCAAACTGCCAAAAATAACGCCAGAACGCGCTCAACCGAAGCTTTTGTGCACATCGGCTTTAATCACCATCCAACAGCTTAGTTTGCCCCTTCTATTGTTAACCCTTTTAAACCTTAGTGGAATAAAACTAAAGCCTCTTATGCACCAGACCAGTATAAAAAAAAAAAAAAAAAGAGTTAACTAACAGTGGCCATGCCTCCGTTGTGTGGGCTGCAAAAGAGTTTTAACGCACCACAAAAGTAACAATCTCACTGCAAAGTAGGTTAAACAATAGCGTTGCAGAAAGAAATGTACTTTTTTTTAACCTTATTTAGTAAGTAAACAATTATACTAAGCTTTTTTTTTAAATCTCAGTTTCTAATGAAATAACACCAAAATACAATGACAGCGTGTTCAAGGTGCCTCAAAACCGTGAGATCAGTGGAGAGAGTATGTGAAAGACACACTGTGCTTTCAGCCAGCTGTTGGATCCGATGCATAATTAAGCTGCCGTCACAGAGGCATTGCTAACGTATCTGTATCTGATCAGGGAATCTCTCCTTTACTAACACCCACTGACGTTTGCCAACATCTGCGAGAACATGCAAGTCCACTGACATTCTCCAACCGGCCTACTGCTGACTGGTGCCTTGTTAAGCAAAGACCGAACTGCTCATTATTATTCTTTTTTATTTATCTATTTTTTTGTCATGATAATTCAAATGAGTTATGCTGAAGAAATGTTCATTCCCCCTCTCAGCCCTGAAAACCACAGAGAATGTAGGCATATATATATATTTTTCCCCCTTTACTATTTGATTTTCAGCAGGTGGTTGTACCAAAGGAATTATTTTATTTCTTTACTTGGGGACAAACGGCAGTTTTTTTTATTTTCATTCAAAACGCCTCCATGCAAAATATTGTCACGTGGAAAGCATTTCTACACAGCTGTCAGTATTTTGCTGCATTTGTCGGTTTCTCACTTGAGGTCAAACCACGAGTGGTTCACATAGTTATTTTTTTAAAAAAAAAAAAAATTTTTTTTTTTTTTTTTGTCAGATTCGTGCAGGATGAATCGGTTTGGACAAACATGACAGTGGATGAATGATAGCCGTATCTTGGCTTTTGACACCTGCCATGCCCCCTATTATTTTTTTGTGAGGTGTCGTAAACTTCAACAATTGATGACATCTCGATTCCCACCCCCTCGCTAGAAGAAGAAAAAAAAATCGATGTTAAACCTTTGACTTTTTATCAAGTTGACACAGCTGTGACTTTTCAATCTCCCAGTCAGGAGTAGAAACCTTACAGAGCTCAGAACGGTTAAATTGCCAGATGGATTTCGTCCCTTTTCACTTGAAAGCTGGAACAGATCAATAGACGCGTGAAGCAGAGCTGAGCGGGTGAGTGATGCTGTCCATGCTTCCAAAGTGTAGGGACTGCGTCAGCAGGCCAGATTTATGATGGGTTATGGCCACAGCGTGCCGTCACGCAACCTTGGAACGAAGCCTTGGCTTCATTTCTCAGAAACTAGCATCTCGCTCCGTTCGTCACATGAAACCAAAACGTCTTCGTACTCAACGTTTATCTTGTCCTCTGAAGACGATCTACACACTGCATCTTCCATGACAGGAAATGAAAGCCTGTCTGTTCATATATAGACTTGTAAAAAATCTCCTCCGGTGATGTTTTGTTCATCATTTGTCCAGTTCAGCCCGGTTTCTTGTGTTTACCCGGTTTTAAGAGAGCCGCTTGTATGTTTGTGTGTGCAGTCGAGAGCCACTTGGCTTCCAACGTCCACAAGAGCCGCCTGGTGCAGAAGGACCTGATGGTGGCCAAGAAGCTGCAAGAGGAGGAGGATGAGAGGGCAAAGATCCAGAGCCAGAAGCAACATGTTGAAATGTGAGCCCCTCTTTCTCTCACACCAGCTGATCAGATGGGGACAAAAATCAGTGAGGTGTCAAAAACACCTGTGGCATTTACATGCTTCTGACTGTTTGGTATTATTTCTGAAACAAAATACCTGCCGAAGGTGTAACTTTTGAAGACATTAGTTTATTGTGAGGGTGAAAAGGTAGCGTAGTTGACACTCAAATAAGGGGAAAATGGTTTTGGAGGCTCAGGAGACGCAGCAGGCTTAACATATCTGTGTGACAAAGAGCAGTTGTTTCTGCTCGGCAGCTGTGCTGGTGAATGTTTGTCTCCATCTCCAAACGCATATTTCTCTGACAGCCCGATATATCAAAACGCACCAACAAGCCAGAAAGGTTTCAAGCTGTGTAAGTGGAGCCTTTCTAGGCTGTGGGTTAGTTGCCCTGAGCTGCATGGCAGCAGCTACGCAGCGCCCGGACGCTCAGCCACAGCGACTTGTGGTTGGAAAAGAGTGGTGTTGTTCCTCTTTCAGTCCAGACCGTAGGCAGCGACAGGAGTTAGAGCCGTTCTCTACACTCTGCAGTTTTTATTGACACAATATTGCTGACTCAGAGAGATCACAGTTTCAGAGTTCCAGCTATACGAGAGCGGGAGGCTCCTGTGGTGACTGGACCCCCGGAGAGAGGCCTGATGCTCCACCCGAGCTGCTCGTCCTGCTGCTAGCTCACGCCACCCATCCAGCCCCCACGTGCCAGCGCCACCTCATGTCCACCCACTCTTAAGGCCCCACAAAATGCAGACGCATGGGAACAGTTTGATATCTGCCGGGTTCTTCCTGAGGGTATCTGTCTGTTCGGCCTCTGCTGAACAGTGTGGTATTATGCTCCTGGATCTGTGTTTACAGAGCAGGGATCATAGCATAGCAGCCCCCCCCAGGCAGATGGTGTTGTTGTCAGAATCATGTTGTTTGGAGATGAGTGGAGGCAGGAATTTCAGATCAACATCATAACAAGCTCCTGCCAGAAGCTCCCCCGCTATCTCATAAACACGCTGGCCAACTTCCAAGCCGTCTCAGCTCACGCAACACGATTCCTTAAAATGTATTTGAATGTCAATTGATTAAGGTTGCTCCGTTGGGAATTTGAATTGAATCCTGTTTAATCGTTTTTATAACTACGTCAGGTCAGTGACGTCCACAGTAACAATGTTGTTGTCAGTGACTCTACTTCTGAAGTTGTGTTTAACCCACCCTGCTTTTGTCTCTGGGAACACCAGCGAGCGGCAAGATAATGAGATCGCACAAGGGATTCAAGAAGAACTGGTCCGACAGGCAGAGTGGCAGCGACAACAAGAGGAGAAGGATGCGGTAAGGAGCAGGCGCACACATTTCCACCTGACTGCATCTACTCATCCCTGCAGCGACTTTTACAATCAGTCTGGAATGATTTGGGCCTTCCTGTTGAATTGTTGTGTGTCACGTGTCATGCCCTCGTGTGATTGTTAAGGGTTTAGCTTGTGTGGTGTTATCAAAGTCCTGTTTACAATGTTTGTGCGATACTGTGCCAAGAGCTGAGATTTGAGGGTTTTCTGATGCCACCTTGCCAAGATGCTCATCATGGTGAGAGTTCTGATGTTAGTGGCTCTTTTCCACATTAGCAGGGATAGAAGTTAGCTGTTAAGTTACAAAGTATTTGCAGAATAAGCTCACCTTGAACATGATTTCAATGTAATTTGTACCAACTAGCCTGAATAATGAGATGCAATACAAAATATGTTGGAGTTTTTTTTTTATTCTTCTAGCAAATATCGCATCCCACCACTCTAATTTGACTTTCCTTTTTTTATTCTTTTATTTTGCTCGTAGGCCATTGCTCGCAAGTTGCAGGAGAAGGAGATGAAAGAGGAGAGGAAGAGGCAGAAGCAGCTGGAGACGACCGTAGACGAGGTGTACTTTGAGGATCACGCAGGTGAGCTTTTCCGTGCCTACTTCCTCGGCATTTTGCTGCCTCTGTGAGCTCATGTGGACGAACATGGCTCCTGAATGGCGGGGCTGTTTTCCGTTTTGCCGAGCCTTTTTATGCCCCACACAGCTGGAGAGTGTTGACGACCCGAGGCAAAGGTTTTGCGGATTCTTTCCTAATCGCATAATTACCCTTGAAGGGAGACTTGCATGTTCCTGCCGAGAAATAAATTGCCATGGCGCTCCTGTTTAAGCACAGCCGCTGGTGCCAGCGGATATTAGCGGGGCTCCAGACACCATACTCAACATATCGACCCCAACTTTAAACGGACCTCTTGTTAATGATGAGAAAATTGGCGATTTAAAAGAAAATTGTTTGTTTGCTTGGATGATCTCATAATTATCCAGGACAACACGCCCACAAAGCCTCGCAGACAGCGTGACTCACCCTGCCGAAGGCCGGCTCATGAAAGAGGCTCCTTTTTAATCCTTTTCTGACTGGTTTGCAAAATGTTCAGGGAGCTCAGATGCGGCTGATGCTTAAGCGCTGTCCTCTGGCCTGTGGGCTTCCAAAACCAAAAGTGTGACTCCGAGTGGTGCGTTAAACGCAACTTCTCTCTTTCTTTTCTTTTTTTTTTCTTCTCCGCAGCTGTTTCTTCCATCTGAAAATAAACTGGCAGATTGACCCCCCTATTTTAATGATTTGCTTTAGATTTCATTTTTCTTCTTGGAGCCAGACAGAAACCATCACCCTCATTTACTGCAGATGATGAATAAGAGGTTGTTTTTTGTTGATAGTCTGCCCATATAGTGGATCTCTTCTGCGTTGGTCTGTTTTAGTCGGTAGTCGATCTTAATAATTCTAACCTTAAAAGTCTGCTGACAGAGGAACTGAAGCTTCTCCTCTTTGCGGATGCCTTCGGGGCCTCTGGCCTTGTGGTGACGGACATTGCCCGCTTTGTTGACATAAATAGGACTGCAGCGGTCAGCCCGCCTGACCTGCTGTCTGGGTGAGCTACGGTCCATTGTGGGGTTTAAGTTCGCGGGATGAAGCAAAACTTAAGCAATGCATCACAGAATCAAAGGAATATTTTTCCCACTTGCCATCTCACTGCTTTTTGTACCCCTCTGTGAGTTATGCAATCACTCCCGTAGTGTTTGTGTGTGACTATAACTGGATAAACATGAATGAGCTCCAGGCAGGACAAAGATTTAGTTCTTTTGTTTACACTTCATGTGGATTCTATGCAGGTTAACGCACCTCCTCTGTGTGGTGTCCACACACACACACACACACACACACACACACACAGAGCAGGCACTGAGATGTTGCTGTCGCTCACGGCAGATTGTTGGTGAGAATGTTGTTCCCTCATTTAGAGCCCTCGCACCCACAGGCCTCACGTGGCCAAGTCAGTTCCTCCTTCTCTCCGGAAACGAGGGGCTGCTGACTGTATTCGTCTCAATATAGACGACATGAGTTGCACACAAATGATGTTGGTGGCAGAATACTCACTTTGTTGCAAACAGCCAGATTAAACCCAAAAGAGCAAACACAGATACTAACCTGGGAAAGTTCCGACAGTCATGGTGTTTTTCTACCTGCCCCCTTTTTTTAGATAACAGGAATTCCTTTGTGCTGACTCTCACCAGTGAGATTTGCCTGTGCTTTGTGCTTCTTTAGAGTGCAGTTGCACTCATTTGTTTGTCATTTGAACCTGTGTCCTTCACATGCCAACACCCAGCAGACTGGTTTTCTCAGAGGTATTTTTTTTTAAACTCGGTTCTATACACCTGTCATGCTGGATGCTGTCTCTTTCTTTCCTTTAACGAGCCTTCACCTGCAACTCTCCATTAAAAATTAATTGTATTCTAAGGTATCCCAGTATTTGCGTTTTGTAAAACCTATTTTTAAGGCTTCACACACCTCCTTTCTTTGTCCTAACCTTGTCACAATCTTCCTCAAAAATGTTTCCGAACATTTTGGGTTCATCTAAAAGCTGCATTTTGTTGTTTCCATCCACACCTTTTTACTTTGACCTTTGACCATCGCTCTCCTCACAGGTGCTGTTTGACTAAAGGCCTACTAACGATCTAAGCTTAAATTGTCCCTGTCTGATGTTCTTTTTCACATTTCCATATCCTCATCACCCATCATCCATCGCTCTGCTCGTGCTGCCCAGCTGCAAGACCCCTCGATGTGGACAAACGCACCCGCCACAAATCAGGTTCCCCTGGCCGCTATGATGCGTACTCTCCAGTCAGATCCCACCGAGAATACTCTCCAGATCATTATTCAACAGAGCCCAAAAGGAGCAGGTATCCAAAACTAGACTCTGTAGCACCCCATAGCCACTCAAGGTATCCTGAGCACGCCCTAGTGGCAGAAGGGGGGCGTAGCAGGCAAGCAGATCCATATCCAGAGCACCTGCTGCCCCCCAGAGGCAAACACGGGGACAGGTACCCGGAGTATGAACCTGCACACACGGGCAGAGTCAGGGACCATGGGGGGAGGGACCAAGATAGAGTAGTGAGGAGGAAGGAGAGGCCAGCCAGACCACCTCCACCACAGGGTTCAATAGAAAAAGACAAGGTCTGGGATAGGGAAAGGCACAGACATGACAGAGAACGGGGCAGAGGCCAGGACTGGGAGAGACATGTGGGGAAAGACCACAGGACAGGCAGGGAGGTGGACAGAGACACGGAAAGATCCAGAGATCGAGGACGCCATGTGGACCGATATGAAGAGAGAGAACGACAAAGACTCAAAGACAAACAACGAGCGAGAACCAGGAGTAGAGAGAGGGGCATCGAGGACCACTTTCCGGAACCAGGACACAGCAGAGACTGGCTTAGGGAGAGCAGGACCACGTGGGAGGAGGAGGAAGATTATGGCGAGCGCAGAACCAGAAGCCGGCCGCGGGCGCAGTCAAACCCCAACGAGGTCTTTGACGAGTTCAGGGACACGGAAGTACGAGGGGACACCAGGGAACTGTGGAATCCCAGACAATGGGAGGATCCTGGAGCGGAGCGCAGTCATAGTCATCCGGGCAGAGAGACAGGTACCACCCTGAGGACCCCGCGGGGCTCTGCAGGGGTGTTTGTGTGGAGTGCCTGCTGCTGCTTTCTGCTGGGGCAATCTCTGGTGGTGGGGTGACCTAACGTGGCGATCACTAATGACTCTGATTTTTTCTGTTTTTAAAGAAATCCAAGCCTTTTTTTTTTCTTTTTTTCTTTCTTTTTTTTTACCAACAGGATTTGATGGCTCAGGATTTGCTGTTGTGCTACTGTGTTTGCTCTCTCTTGCAAAAGGTTTTGCTGATTGCAACACTGTGCTGTGGTTTTTCAGTAGACGTAGCTGGACTTTACTGGAGCTTTCCAAAGGGGTTTCAGAGCTCCCGATCTGGCTGCGTTATCCTATTAAAAAAAAATCCCAATTCAATCGGGTTCATGCTGAAGCTTGTCGTCGAGCTCATAACCGACTAAAATATTAAAGAAAACAAAACTGATCCTGACCAGTGGAGATGCACTGAAGCCCTTTTTAGGTCTCCTGAGCCTTTAACTACCACTACAATTAAAAGGCAGTTGTGGTCAAGAAGCCGTTGCCAGTTTATCATCATGCTGGAGATTCAAACTATCAGCCAAGGTGGTTATTTTATCCATCACAACAATTTGGGAAATTTAAACCAATGATTGTGGTTTTTGGTCTTCAACCGTTGACTGGATAAAACGAGCAATCGCATGATCATTGGGGTCATGATCAAGGGGTCTTTTAATTATCTGAAAACACATAGACAACTCTGCCGATCACGATAATCATCACGTGTGTGTGAGTGTTTTCAGATAACAAACTTACTCTTGTGTAATTCGGTTCCTCAGGTCGTATTGTGAGCAAAGCGAGCGGGTCAGTTGTAACAGAAGACGAGTATGGACTGAACGAAGCCACCAAAGGGCTGGTCAAGCTGGATCTGCGTGAGCAGGAGCTGAAGGACATGGAGGTGGCCAGAAAACTGCAAGAGGAGGAGATCAAGGTGAGAGGGTCAATAGTCGGCGTGCACATTTTCGTTTATGTAGAAGATGGACGCTTACGTGCTCCATCTGTAACACTGAAGCAAAGAAATGTGGTCTTGAATGTGAAAACTTTAAGTACTGAATATTCCTCTGGTCAGTTGTACAGAAACTCAGCCAAAAGTCCTCGGAGTACTTTATTGTGTGATATATCTTTGGTTCAGAAATGTCTTGTGTGTGTGTAAAAATGTTCTCTTGTGCTTGTTTTCGGGGTTTAGGCAAGCAAGATGCACGGGCGCGCCGCCGCCCAGGTGGCTCAAGATGAGGTGAGTGTGGTCTGTCCCCCTTTTTTTTTTTTTTTTTTCAGATCCTTTAATTTCCTGTGTCCACCCAGTTAGGTCAGCTTTGTGGATAGCTGTCCCAAAGAGTCCAGGTCAAAACCAGACATTATGTGAGAAAACATTGCCCGGCATTGGGTTAATTACTGCTGTTTGAGAGCAGCAGGGTCCAAAATGAAGATTTCTGGACATATTTGAGAGGAAATGGTCTCCTGTAATATGCAAGCCCCATATATGAAATTTCTTTGGCAGGAAATCGCTCGACTCATGATGGAACAAGAGAAGAAGGAGTACAGGAAGAATCGAGAACGGGAGAAGGAGAAAGAAAGGGAGAGGATGGCAATGGAAAAGATGGCAATGGAGAGGAGGCGGCTAGAGGGAGAACACCGGGTAATTTCTGTGGCCACGCACATTCTCACAGCGTGTGCTTTTAAACATCATTCCCTTTGGTACAAACGTCTGCTTCAGCTGAAGCTCTACAACTCTCACTTTCTTTGGCTTCCAGCCAAATCCAGAGGAAGTTGTGCGGCCCCGAACGCGAGAGGAGCTGGACTACCAGAGGCAGAAATACCCCAACAAGCCTTCCAGGTACGAGACCCGACCAGGGACCAGATGATTCTCTTAAAGCAGAAACTCTCGCGTGTCTCTAACGCCTTGGCTCTGTCTTCACCCCGTCTGTCGCAGGCCTCCTCAGCCTCGCGTCCACGACTATGAGAATGTGAACTCCGGTTATGGCTACTCAGACCACCCCGTTGCCTCTCGCCCTCCGACACGACCCGAGGCCGCGTACAGAGGTACCTCAGTCTGTGTCTGTAGAGATGATCTTCTGCTTGTTTAAGGACCACACGAGGGGATTTATTTATGTTACATAACATCCTACATTTATTCTTTAGTCATTTAGTTATTTCTTTAAGGGGTTCTTTCTCCAGATGCTTCTAGTTGTGTAACGTTAACATGTTGACAGCCATCGGTAGAGAAGCTACCGCACTCTTTTTCTGGATTATTTCTGAAAACCCTCAGTAATTTGTGCTAGAAAATGAAGATTAAAAAAAAAAGTGTTTTTAAACTCTAAGTGTCAGAAGTAATGTGACACTGGGTAAATAATTCACTTTCCTTATCTGTGAGTGAAGATCTAAAGAGGATGTGAAATTCTTTTGAAACTAAAGCAGCACCGCTGTAAGTCGTCCTCTTTTGAGCACACGTAATTAGTTTGTGATCCACTGGAAGGCATTTCCTCTGAAAACAGCAGTGGCACACAGGATGTGATGGGTTGATTGCAAAGCAAAACATGAGCACCAGTTCCACCGAAGTTGGGGAGCGAATTGTGTAAAAAGCTCAAGTCACACAGAGTAACTGAAGAAATGGCCTTTAAAGTTGATATGATTGGAGCAGTTCATACATCTGATGGTTGGACCTGCTAATGAATCTCTTTTTCTCCTCTTCACAGGTGCCTATCACAAGCGGTGACTTTGGAAAATGCCCAGACATGCCATCTGCCCATCATCTTGACTTTCCTTCTCCTATTTTTTTACTCATTTTCTTTTAATTATTTATTTATCTCTTTGTTTTCAATCAAACTCCAAAGCCTTTGGGACAGTCTGAGTA